TATCGGTAACGTTATATTCAGAAAGAATAAACCAGTTTTATTAAGTAAGGACTTGTGTCGCTAAAGTTTCGTCGGAACGAAGTTACGGAAAAATCAATTAACAAACGGAGACGTAACACTTCTATAGTTTTATTTCCTGTATATTACCTGCCTAGGCCTACTGTACAGCAAATCTTTTTATAAACAGTCTAGCGTGGGTTACGTAGAATTCTACTGATCTGTACAATAAATCTTTCTATAAACAGTCTAGCGTGGGTTACGTAGAATTCTAGTGATCTGTACAATAAATCTTTCTATAAACAGTCTAGCGTGGGTTACGTAGAATTCTAGTGATCTGTACAGTAAATCTTTCTATAAACAGTCTAGCGTGGGTTACGTAGAATTCTAGCGATCTGTGCAATAAATCTTTCTATAAACAGTCTAGCGTGGGTTACGTAGAATTCTAGTGATCTGTACAAGGTCACTAAAATACAAAATATTTTCACATAATTTATGCTCTATAACTCAGTCAAAAGTGATTGGATTTTGATGAAACTACACGTGTAGAATACTGACCATTGTCCGTTGATAACGACGGAAATCGGACATATTTTCGTACTTTTTAAGAGCCGAGTATAATCAACGCTGCATGGTGGAGATATGCTCTCTAGTTACAATCCTTTTATTCTATAACAGAATTTCCTTTTTTTTTTTAGGTTATACTGACATCACACCATCGCTACCAGCCAAGAGTTAACATTGTAGAAAGTACACCAGATGGCACCACAATACCATCAACACTGATGAGTCACTACTTTCCAGAAACACAGTTTATTGCAGTAACAGCCTATCAGAATACTGATGTACGTTCGAACTGACTTTCAGTTATTAATTAGTATTTGTGAGACACTAAACATAACAATTTTTAAAGGTAATTCATTTTCAAATTAATTAACTTGGTACAAAACATTTAATAAGTTATTTTTGAAAATGACGAACTTTGACATAACTTTTTTTTTTGTTGTTTTAGATAACGCAGCTGAAGATTGACCACAATCCATTTGCCAAAGGATTTCGTGACTGTTTTAATAAGTAAGTATAACATAACACTCTTCCAGTTTGTATCTCAAACTTTGGTGCAAAGAGGTTTGATTGGTTTGTCTTGAATTTCGCGCAAAGCTACACGAGGGCTTTCTGCGCTAGCCGTCCCTAATTTAGCAGTGAAGGACTAGAGGGAAGACAGCTAGTCATCACCACCCACCGCCAACTCTTGGGTTACTCTTTTACCAACGAATAGTGGGATTGACCGTCACATTATAACGCCCCACGGCTGAAAGGGCGAGCATGTTTGGCGGGACGGGGATTCGAACCCGCGACCCTCAGATTGCGAGTTAAGCCTAACCAAGCTGGGGAATCAATGTAATATACATCAGTATGTTTGTAGTTAACCACAAAGCTACACAATGGGCTATCTGTGCTCTGCCCACCACGGGTATCGAAACCCGGTTTCTAGCGTTGTAAGTCCGCAGACATACCGCTGTACCACTGGGGGGGGGGGTTCTACATCAGTAGTGGTTGAGGACGTTAAAGGTATTGATGCAATGTATGTTAATACGTGTAAAAACAAGCACCATCTACATAATACAAGGGGTGGGTTAAAAACAACCAATGACCGTTAACAGTTAAGGTTAACATTCACTATGCCATATTTGACAAACATAATGTTAGAACTCAAATTCGGTGATGAGGAACCCACTTTGAGACTAATAATGGCTGGAGACTGCTTGAATGGGTA